CTCTGTCCGTGATCCTTTGCAGTGCCCCCCGAGGGTAGCGAAGGGCTGCCCGAGAGGTGTCGGTCTCGAGCTCTCCAGTGGATCGGCTGCATTTTCACGTGCTTGGAGGAGAGAGGCCGCTATTTCCAACAGTCCGATTTTCGAATGGGATTTCATTCGCGGTGACAAGTTCGATCTACTGAACAGACGTTGCAAATCAATAATTCGTGGATGGATAATGTCAGGCTCCATTGCTGCTCTGTGGATTGGGTTACCCTGTAATTCCTGGTCCATTGCTAGGCGTGATACTCGTACCGGTCCAGGTCCTCTGAGGTCGTCGGAACATATGATGGGGCTCCCTGGACTGAGGCCCAAAGATCAGCGGAAGGTCGACATCGGAAACATTTGATGAAATTCGCTGTTTCCCTCATTCGGTTGTGTCGCCGTCTGTCTATCCCGGTCTCTGTCGAGAACCCGCACAGCTCAATGGCATGGAGGACCCCCCAGTTCGTCCAGCTAGCTATCTTGCCCGACTCGAACATCATTCACACGAATTTCTGTGTGTTCGCAAAGCCCTGGAGAAAGAGCACTCGTATCCTGTCATTTCATTTTCAACATGACTATGCCGTCCGTCACTGTTCGTCGAGGCACGGAATATGCGATCGCACCGGTAAGCCACATGAGATCCCAGAAGGCCGTCGTAATGGCAAATTCCTCAATAAAAATCGCTGGGCCATATTCCAGCAGTCTGTGTAGGAATTCGTGTGCTCTTGTGTGTCTGTTCTGATCGCCAACAGAATGGCTGCGCTAGAAAGGTTCGGCCTCGGCCAGTAGGGCAACCTGGCGTTGCTGCAGTGTCTTGGGGTGGAAGCCGTGGCAGTGCGGTCTCGTATAGATGCCTCCTCGTCGGCCGCCACCCTGGAGTGGCTCGCCTCTGCCACGACCTCTAGAAAAAGGTCGGCTGACCGACTGAGGAGGTGAGAAGACTTGTAGGTGGATGTGTTCGCACATGAATCAAAATCTTAGAAGCCTGGGAAGCTGGCCGCTCAGGTGTTGTGTGTTTGCCCTTTTTCCAACAGCTGTCCGCAACAATCGCTCCCGCCGCACCCGCCCGCTTTGTTTTGCTCACACTCCAGCTGGGTGGAAGCCGTGGCAGTGAGGTCTCGTATAGATGCTTCCTCGTCGGCCGCCACCCTGGAGTGGCTCGCTTCGGCCACGACCTCTAGAAAAAAGGTCGGCTGGCCGGGTGAGGAAGTGAGGCGATTGTATACACATACGCAGCTATATACACACATGTATATATATATGTATGTATGTATGAATGTGTACGTATATATATATACGTATGTATGTGTACGTAGATCTATTAAAAAGGGATAGAGAGAGAGGGAGAGAGAGAAAGAGAGAAAGAGAGAGAGAGAGAGGCATGCATACAAATATACCGACATATATAATTATACATACATACATAATGTGTATGCATGTCTACACATGTGTACATCTATGTCGGCGGTTCCCGGTGCGGAGCGACCCCCCCCGGTAAACTCCATCCTGGGGGGGGTCGAGCTGGCGGCACCGATGGTGCGAGCCAGTACGAAACCCCCCGGTAAGCACGAACCCCCCCGGTAGACGGCACGAACCCCCCCGGTTAGCACGAAACCCTTCTGTTATGCACGAAACCCTCCAGTATGCACGATTGGCTCGACTGGGCCCCAAAGGTTTTCCAAGACGCCATACCTCTACAGAGAACCCCCCACCCCACCCGCACGCTGCCCCACCCCCACCCCCCACTCCCACCCTTCCACTCCCACAGGGGGAGGGGGGGGGGTCCATGTCGAAGCCCCCCCCAATGCGGCCTGCACGAACACCCTTGGTAAAGGGACAAGGGGGGGGGTTCTGAGCCGTCGGCGGCACCCCGTGCGGCCTGCACGAAACCCCCTGGTAGTACTGGGGAAGGGGCTTCGTGCCACGGGGCACCGCCGACATCTATACATACACGGAAGGTCCCGGCCCCGGGGCTTGGGGCAATACGGAGCCAGACTCGGGCACACAGGTCTCTTTTGATTTCCTTCAGCCCCAGACGACGCGTCGTAAAAGGCCCAAACAGCGCCCTTACACGACTTTTGGGTTACCATATCAAATGGCGGCAGGTCCACGACCTACCTAGAGGGAACTCCCGAGTCAACCTGGCAATACCCAGCGGCAATTTGCGATGGTGGGTACCGGAGCGCGACTAGAACCGAAGCGCGCGCGAAGCGCGCGCGTGGTTCGAGCATTTGCAAAATTACGTATACTATCAAATTCAGTTTCGTGCGGCAAGTCCCGCAACCATGCCAGACCAGCATTCTGGGTAGCGATGTTTCGAGGGAGCACTGGAGGCCGTCACCTGTGACACCTCGTGCCGCCACGGTTTGGAGAGCCGTGCTGTTGATGATGAACGACGACGACGACGTCGACGACGACGATGACGATTTCGATGACGATGACGATGGTGATGATGGTGATGGTGGTGATGGTGGTGATGGTGGTGGTGGTGATGTTGGGGATGGTGGTGATGGTTGTGGTGGTGATGGTGGGGATGGTGATGGTGATGATGATGGGGGTTGCGACGATGATGATGATGCTGATGATGATGGTGGTGATGGTCATGGTGGTGGTGGTTGTGACAATGATAATGATGGATATGGTGATGGTAATTGTGATGGTGGTGATGATGATGACGATGGTGATGATGGTAATGCTGATGGTGGTGATGATGATGATGACGATGTTGATGATGATGCCGATGATGGTGATGATGGTAGTGTGGATCATGAGGTTGACGATATCACTGGTGGTGAAGTCGTTGTTGATGTCGGTGGTAATGGTGATGATGATGATAATGATGATGATGAACGTATTGCGGATGATGATGCGGGTGAGGGGTTGATGATGAGGATGATGATGACAAGGCTGGAGATGATAGTCGCGATGATGGTGATGGTGTTGGCAGTGATGCTGGTGATGATAATGATGACGATGATGAAACTACTAATGATGATGCTGGCAATGATGATGGTATTGATGATGCTGCTGACAACGACAATGCTGATGATGGTGATGACGATAATGATGATGATGGTGATGATGGTGGTGATGATGATTTCGATGTTGATGATGATGGTAATGCTGCCGGTGCTGATGATGGTGACGATGACGATGGCGACGACGATGATGAGGATGATGATGATGAGGAGGAGGAGGAGCATGAGGATGAGGATGATAATGATGACGAGGATGAGGATGAGGATGAGGATGAGGATGATGATGATGATGGTGATGATGATGACGATGACGATGCTGATGATGATTCTGACAATGTTGCTGATAGTATGATGCAGATGCTGATGAACATGTAGATGCTGATGCTGGTGCTGATGTTGACGATGATGATGATGATGATGATGATGATGATGATGATGATGATGATGATGATGATGATGATGATGATGATACTGATGATACTGATGATACTGATGATGACGATGATGATGATGCGGCGAGGAGGAGGAGGAGGCGGAGAAGCATGCGGAGGGGGAGGAAGAGGAAGGCCGTCACATGTGACATGTTTCGTCCTCGCTACATGCGGAGCCCCCACAGAACTCGTTTGGGCCATCTCGGGGCAGCCTTGGCCTCCTGTGAGGCAGTCCTGGGGGTCCTTTGGGGTTCTCTTGGGCCATCTTGGGGCCCTCTCGCGCCGTTTTGGGGCTCTCTTGGGCCGTCGTGGGGCCCTCATGGTCGCATGGTGGGTGCCCAGAGGCCCTCGTCAAGCAGTAAGGCCTTCGAAGGACGTCTTGGGTCCCACGGGAGGCTCTCTGAGGCCTCTTGGGGGCCGTCTTGGATGCCCATTGGGCCATACAGTCGACCCAGATTAGTAGGTCGACCCTGCCAAATCAAGGGTACCCTTGTGTCCTGTGTCTTGCGACCCATGCTTCCTACATTCCTGTGGCAATGTGGCCCTCGGAATGGTCTTGTGTCCTCTCGCGTGTCCTGTCCAATCGAGTCCGACTGTATTGGGACCTCTTGGGCCATCGTGGGACTCTCTTAGGGGTCTCTTAAACCATCGTTGAGGCTTGTTGGGCCGTGTTGGGCTGACGGAGGCCCGAAACAGCGACAAGGTTCAAGCCAGTCAAGAGCCAGAAGGGACATCAGTAATGTTGGTGTCGTCAGAGCCTGTTGTACGTCCTCGTGTGGCCCTTCTGGACCTCTTGGAGGCATCTTGGGCCGCCTTCAGGCCATATTGGGCCATCGTGGGCCGTCTTCGAGGCATAGTGTGCCATGTTGGTGTCGTTGGTTGCCTGCACGGGCCGTCTTGGAAGCTCGGGACGCGGATCCATAGTTTTTGTACGAGGCATCGTGGCCTCGGGAGCGCGGATCCATCGTCTGTTGTAAAGGACCGTGGCCTCGGCAGAGGGGGCGATGCATTCAAGGACGCGTGAGTAGGAATGGGGGTCCTTCTATAAAGCAGAAACCGTACCAGGCAGCCCTTAGCATTTTCCCACGCCTCAATGTTCGCTATATGTTGTATATAGCAATACAACTTAAATCTATCTATATAGATGTGCAACCATCATCTACCCATCTCCCTATATGTGTAGATAAGTGTACAGCACGTGCGCACAATGTCTGGAGATCCAACTACAGTCCATGTGCGGTTTCGACGACTGTGCCGCGCGGCGATGCAATTCTGGCGATTGCAGAGCGGTCATCTAGGCTGCAACTCCTGGGAGTTTTATCCAGCGTCGGTGCTGGTATGCCCGTGGTCGAAAATCGCGCGAATCCGGCATCATCCCGGTTAGTTCCGTTGCATCCAATTGATTCAGGTTGATTCGGGTTTTATCTTGGGCCTAATCAGGCCCAAATCTGGCTTCAAGGCCCCTTGGTCGGGCCTAATACTTCTGAGTCGTTCTTGCGAAGACCTCCCAGGAGCTGCCCTCCAAGATCCAAAAGTCTGTCTCTTCTTTAGCGGCCGCTGCCGACAGGCGGGGCGGACGACGCGGGCGGCGCCGCCGAGAAGTGCGCCGCGCTGCAGGCGGAGCTCGACCAGCAGAGAGCCCTCCTGCGGGACCAGGTTTCTGGGGGGTCCGAAACGGGATGCTCTGATGCGCATGTACACATCTACAGATGCGCAATAACTAAATCATCAATATTGGGACGTGCTTCGAAGAAGATAAACAGCATAAGCATGAACTGTCGAGGCTCCACGCGGAACTCTTGGATCGCGCCGATCCAAGAGATCCGCGCGGACCTCCGAAAGTGCCTGATGTGTTCTGTTCCTCTGGGCACGTGAAGTTGGACACGCAGCGACAGTGCAAATATTACTACATGCCCCTACGAGGCAATTGAAGCGGTATTGCAACAGCCGATTGCCAATGATATTCAACAGCACAGTGCGGGCTAGAATCAGTATCGTCATTGCAGATCGCGGCAGCATCAGTATCATGACTACATGATCATCGAGCGGGGAGGGGTTGAGAACAGGGGTTGGTACGGAATCAACTGCGCGCGGCCGATTCAGGCCCCGCGGGCGCACCCGGGTGACCCAGGGTGCCCGGGAAACGGGTGCATGCAGCTGATTCGCCAGCCCACCTCTCATGCAGAAGGCGCCTCAAATAAGAAATTTGCCTGCGAGTTGGTGCTCCACGGGAATTTCGTATCCCCCGATCGCCCCAGGGACCCACATAGGCTCTGGGGCACCTGAGGAGCCTCCATGATCGACGAAGCACGTGCCTCAATAATTCTTATAGCGAGATTTCTTATCGTGCGGTTCCAGTGTATCTGTCCTTTTGCTTGACCCCCCCCCCCCCGCGCGCAGGAGCACCGCTTCGTGGCAGGGCGCCTGCAGAAGGAGGCCTCCGACATGGTCGCCGGCCTCACGGAGAAGATGGCGGCCACGACCAGTGCCGCGGCGTGCTTGGTGGACGAGGACTTCTCTGCCGGCGTCTGGTTGGACCAGATCACGCAGGTCTTCAAGGCGAAGATGAAGCAGGAGAGCAAGGACGCCGCAGCGGTGTTTGCGAGCATCGGTGCCGAGGGCGACGCGCTGTCCAGTGCGAAGTTTGCGTCCTCCGTGGCTGCCCTCCCCGAGCTGCTGGAGGATGGCCATCCCATTTTCTCCGAGGAGGAGCTGAATGCCGTCTTCAAGAAGATGGCCGGCGAAGCCGAGCAGTGTTCCAAGCAGCAGTTCTGCGACCAGTTCATTGACAGGTACGTCTGCGTAGGAAACGTGTCGATGACCAACCAGTTCGAGATCAGGGGAGGAAAGGTGTCATGCCAGGTAAAAACAATTTACACATGGATGCTTGGATTCATCCTATCCTTGCCTTTGCCACTCCCTGCCCCCATGCAAGGAGCGACGCGAATTTCCATGACATTTTGGTTGCAGTTGCCTGCGGTCATGGCGTGGAAATTCCCAGCGATTTATCAACGTTTCGCGACCCAGGAGTCAACCGTAAAGGCATCCCAGAGCTCTCTTGGTAGCATGTTCCCTCTTGGAGCTCTCTCCGGTGGCCTCGAGGCTATGTTGGAGCTCTCTCGGAGTCATCCTGGAGATGTTGGAAAGGTCTCCCCCGGGAGCTTGGCGGAATACGTTTCCGTCCACTGTCTTAAACCCCAAGTGCGTTTAGCATTCGGTTGTGCGTGGGAGCGTGAAAGGACGAGGGGCGAGAGGAGCCAGGACGTCGAGGGGCCTGTGGCAGTCTTGGGTCCTCTGGATGCCCTCTTCGGCAGCTTCTGGCTCTCTTGCGGCCATCTTGATGCGGGTGTGGAGGATTAGTGGGTAACGGGGTGGCTCTGTTGGGCCGTCATGAGGCCATCTTGGAGGCCGTTGAGGCCGCTTGCAGCTGAAGGAAGCCCGAAAAGGTGCAGACGCCAGAATATGTCAACAAATTTGAGTCGCATGTGTGGCTCACTCGGGCCCTCTCGGGCTGTTTTGGGTGTATTTTGAGCCGTGTCGAGGCCATGCTGGGCGGGTCGTCATGGGTCCACCTTGGGTCGTCTTGGAGACTTCCCAGGTCATCTTGGGAGCACTGGTTGTCTGCCTCGGCCATCTCGGAAGCTCGGGAGCGCGGAGCCGCTGTTGTCCTTTGCCGAGTAATCGTGGCCTCAGCCACGAGGAGGGGAGGGAAGGGGAGGGAAGGAAGGGGGAGGAGGAGGGGAGGAGGAGGAGGAGGAGGAGGAGGAGGAGAAGGAGGAGGAGGAGGGAGGAGGGAGGAGGGAGGAGGGAGGAGGGAGGAGGGAGGAGGGAGGGAGGAGGAGGAGGAGGAGGAGGAGGAAGAGGAGGAGGAGGAGGAGGAGGAGGAGGAGGAGGAGGAGGAGGAGGAGTGGCCTCATGAGCGCGGACCCGCTGTTTTTATTGTTTTTTTACCAGGGGTCATGGCCTCGGGAGCGCGGATCCGTCGCCCTCTGCGAGTACTCGTGGCCTCGGGGGCGCGGGCCGATATCTTTTCCACTTGGTCGATTCGGAAGCGCGGATCCATCGTTTCTGGGGATTGAAAGGAGGGTCGGTGCAGGGCTTAGAAGATGACAGAACCCCTACCAGGCAGACCTTGGCATTCTACCACGCCTGAACGAGCCAGAGGGCCTTGTGGCGGATGAGGAGCAGATCAAGCCTCTCCATGCAGGGGAGGTGTGGAAGATTGAACGTTCGTTCTTCTTGCGCCCAGCGGGCTGGAGTGATTCTGGCGGCTCTTCTTCCACGAGAGGTGCTGAAGGGGTCGAGGGGAGTTACCGAAGACGCGTACGGCGAGTCACCGCCGCCCCCTTCCTTGCTGGAAACGCCGATGTGGCCAAAAGTGTGGCCAAAGTTTGGGCTAACTATTGGACTATGTGCCCCCCCCAGCCGTTGTGGAAGCCCTCGGGGGAACACTCGAGTGAGGGAGAGGACAAGGAGGATGCGGACGAGGATGTGGGCTCTTGGGAACCTCCTGGGTTTTCTTGAGTGGCCTCTTGCGCCATTTTGCCATCCTGGATGACATCTTGGGCAGTCTTGGAGGCCGTATAGAACCGCCCTGGCCGACATGCAGGCCATCTTGGCCATCTTGCAGGCCATCTTGGACCGTCTTGTAGACGTCCTCTTGGGTCGTGTTGGGGCTATATCGGAGGCTTCGTGGGCCGTCTGAGGCTATCGGAAGCTCTCGAAGGCGAGAACGCCGAAAACATTAAACAAACTGCAGGATAACAACGTTGTTTGCCTGTTGACGCCCTCTCGGGGCCTTTTGGAGGCTTCTTGGGCGTCTTCGAGTCGTCGAGGCCTCTTGGGCCATCTTGGCCGTCTTGGAGGGCGGAGGGCGGAATTTCACTTGTTTGCTGCGTGGCCGGCGGGTGGGGCGGGAGGCCATTGGGAATTTCGCGGAAGGCCCAAAAAGGTTTATAACGTTGAGCACGCTAAGCACCCCTTTGCAAGCGAAGGAAGCGGCGGATCCAGTGTCTTGCGGCCCATTCCTCTACCGTGCCATTGGGAGCCTCTGGGGTCTATCCAGGAGGCCTTTTGGGGGATTCGTTTTAGGCGGGAGATGTCTTGGGCACTTGCCCCGACATTCCCTCCAAGGCCGATGTTGTTTTGAACTGTTTCAGAATTGGGGGGCCTAGGGAACTCGCGCGGCAAACCCTGGAAAGTCGCAGAATGTATGGGAAGGCCCTGTCGGCTCTTCCAGGGCAGCTGCTTGAGGGGACACGTGCGGGGAGGACTCCAAATCGCACTGCCCTTGTGGTAGCAGTTTCCCGGAAGGTGGTGAGCAAGCTGCTCCCCAACGACGTCCTCGAGGCGATGGAGCAGCCCACCAAGGACGAGAAGACGAAGATCATGCGCATCAAGGCACGTTCTTTTCCTACCCCTTTCCATCCTCCTCCGTTGTCTCTCCCCCTTTTACCTCCTTCTCCCCGTCGCCAGGCCAAAGCCGAGAAGGACGGTAAGGAGGGCTACGTGACCATCGCCGGCAACCAGGGCACCCCATACCTCGAGGCGTACTCGCCATTCGCCGCCAGGGAGAAGAAAGTCGCGGGGGTCATCCAGGAAATGCAGGATGCCACCAGGAACTGCAAAGTGTACCTGGAGAAGAAGGCGAACGAGCTGACCTCGGTGCAGACGGGGCCGCTGGCCGAGTGCAGGATGGAGCTCTTGAACCTCTTGCCGACCGTCGACGAGTTTTTTGACGCGATGAACGAGCTGAGAAACAGGGTGATCGAGGCAAAGAGCAGGCACGCCGCGGTCCTCGAGGACGAGAAGCGGAGGCGGGTCGAGTCCAAGGAGAAGCGGGTTGCCAAGTGCATCATCGACGAGGCCCTGGGGGCCGAGACGCACCTGCAGGAGCTGGTGGACAAGATCCTCCCGGAGGCGGAGGCGCTGGAGAAATCGATGAGTATGGGCGAAGATGCTCAGGACGAGGCCCTCGGGAAGATGCCAGCCTGCGAGAAGGACCTCCAGGCTGCAACCAAGAAGGCAGCAACTGTCCAGGTGAGACTGTCAGAACTGACGGTCACGGTGAGAGCCGCGGCGCGCGGCCCTCTCCTGGACGCTCGGAACGTGCTGGCGAAAACGAAGGTGAAGGTGTCATCTTTCGAGACCAAGTTGCAGGCCCTGCGGTAACCTGCGAACTCTACCCCCCATGCACGCCAGTCCACACGACGCCCGGGTATTCTCCCTCCCCCCCACCGACCCGCAGGGGATCAATTTGCCGCAGCCGATCTTTGTCTGGACACGAAAGGCCTAGTTGTCTTGGAAGTGAGCGGCGTAGAACAGTTTTGTTGCATGGTGCGGACATTCGTGCGCAAGTTGCCCGCGTAGCCCCTTCGGTCCTTAGTTGGCGTTCTTTCTAGTAGCGCGATGACTGTAATCGCCCTCTTCGTCGCGCGGTGCGCCGCTCGGCAGTCTCTCCGAGCTGTCGCCCAAGACTGCCACAGCGTTGTGCGTGAGGCCTTCCAAACCCGACCAGCTGAATTGCCAGATTCATTGGGTGTCGCCGCACCGCCAACCCCTTGGGGCCTTCTTGGGCCACTCTCGGGCCCTCATATTGAGGTCTCTGGGGCCGTATTGGGGCCCTCTTCGGCCGTATTGAGGCCGACAGCTTGGGGCCGACAAACACGCCCGCCATCCCTGAATGCCGCGGACGCTCAGGCCCCAGGACCTTCGAGTGTCCCGAGTACCCCGCCTCGCCAGCAGTGCACACTGCAGCCGCTGGGCCCCCAGGCACCACGGCGTCACGCCGTCCACAGACACGAAGAACGGCATTATTAAGAATATATGTAAATAACAAACAGGCATCAAGACCAAGCATCCAGGACAGACGTCAAGACCAGACAGCACAACAGGCGTCAAAGAGCAGATACCAAGGGCGCACACCAGAACGGACCACAACGGACATCCATGGCACATAACAGAACAAACCAAAGACGTACACCAAACACAGACAATCGTGACAGGCATCGGGTGCGTAATCCAAGAACATACATGAGGAACATGCCCCAATGGCAGACGTCCAGGACAAGTATCAATGACCGTGTCTAGAGCGCACAGCAGGGCCCTCGGTAACAGAAGGCAAGGACACGCCAATAGCACACATGTATTCCAGGCTTCAAACACATGACAATCGCAGATATGTCTCCGCGCCGTTTGTTCCGTCTCGCGGCCTTCCGTCTTGTGGAGGGCGCCGCGGCAGCCAGGGCTAATTCCGCCTCGGACGCAGGGTTTGCCGTGGGGTTTGCCGCGGTGCCGGCTGTGTCTCCTTTGGCGTGGGACGCAGGGTTTGCCCTGGGTTTGCCGGGCCGTGGTGTCAGTGTCGTCCATTTGGGCGCTTCGAACACAAACGGCGCGGCAACATATCGAGAACGCACGTCAACAAGCAGCAATCACATGCTACCTAACAAAGACACCACGGACAGACGTCAACAACCTATACATCTGGGACATGCACCGAGAATCTAGATTAAGCCATGCAACAACAGTACGCATCAAGACCAGGCATCACGACCCCACATTCACAACATGTCCCAAGAGAAACAAGAGTATACTTCAAGAGCAGGCGCCAGCAACACACTGTGATGGCATTTGCCAAGAACGCAATCCCATAATAGCCATCACTAGCATGCACCAAGGACAAGCACCCCGATCATACATCAAGACAGTAACCACCGACATGCGCCAATTACAAACATCGCAGCGCACTTCAAGACCATATGCACATGCCATGACGCTCATCTATAACAGACATCACAATCACATACCAGAAACACATCACTGACATGCACCAATGACATACATCAGTAACCGACCAAACACATACACACAAACATATTTCATAGCTCGCATCAGCATAACGCACCACGACTCCTCGTTTGCAGGACCAGAAACACATACAGCAATGCCATGGTTCAACCACATACGCTCACAGCATACGCAACGAGTCTCAACAGGAAAACGACGGACACCACACGCACCTGTGTATACATATTCTCATACGCACCTCTCCGAGGGAGTAGAGCTCAGAGGCGATTAATGCGTCCGTCGTTCGCGATTTTTCTGGCCGTTTCGCTCGGGACATCCTCGAAATTCTGAAAATCGGTGGCACCCCTCACGCAGATCGTGACGTCAGGGTCCAAAAACACATAGGATTTCCAACATTTGTATCATAAAACCTTCAAAAACACATGGGTTTGTCCCGGGTTTCCCAGGTGCCCCGGGCGTCCCGGCGCTAACGCATGTCGCTAATTTCATAATTAATTTGTTTCGGCGCCTGCGGCGGGCTTTCTTATCCAATCCAGCTTATCTTCTCCAATCCACCTCGTCCAATCCGATCCATCTTATCTTTTCCAGCCCATACTGTCCCATCCCATATTATCCCGCCCAATCCAAAACACCCAACCCAGTCCATAAATTCACTTGTTTCTGCGCCTGCGGCGGGCCAATCCAATCCATCTTATCTTATCCAATCCAACCCATCTATCTTATCCAATCCATGTTTTCCCAATCCATGTTCTTCCAATCCATTTTATCCATTTTCTTTCAATCCATTCCATTTTCTTCTAATCAGATCCAACTCAATATATCTTATATTTTCCACTTCTTCCAATCCAACCCATTTTATCTTATCCAATCCATATTATCCCAACCAATCCAATCCACCCAACCCAATCCATCGATTCATTTTTGGCGGCGCCTGCGGCGGGTTTTCTTCTCCAATCCATCTTGTCTCAGCCGATCCATCTTAACTTATCCAACACAGATTGTCCCATCTTATCCTATCCCACCCAATCCAATCCATCCAACCCAATACATCAATTCATTTGTTTCTGCGCCTGCGGCGGGCCAATCCAATGCATCTTATCTAGTCCAATCCATCTATTCCAATCCAACCCATCGTATCTTACTCAATCCATACATCCTTGCTTTTGAGGTCGATAGTGAGATCGACAATGAGATTCACCGATAGGTCGGTCGACGGATAGGTAGGTAGTGGGATCTCATCGCCATCGCGATCATCATTGCGGTGAAGGGAGACTCTGATAGAGAGGGGGAGAGAGAGGGCGAAATAGAGAGAGAGAGAGAGAGACACACACACACAGAGTGAGAGAGAGACAGAGACATACAGAAAGAGAGATATGATATCAAGGTGACAGGCTGGAGGTCAGTCAGGGTGGGCATTTGATCCCAATCCCCCTCCCAACCTCCTCATCGCCCGCAGGGCGGTCGTATAGGTCTACATGCGTATATAAATATGCGTGTGTGTGTATATATGTATATATATATATATATATATATATATATATCGGAAGTTGGGGGGTGAGATCGCAGTGAAACGGACAGCCCCCCCGGGGAATCGGTTTCGGTTTCGCGTTCGCGTCGTGCGTTTGGGCGAGGCGAAGCTGCGCGTGATCCTCCTGTAGCTAGGCCGAAGTAGGAGTGAAAGTCCGTTCCCGTCCGCCGGTGGCTGGGAGGTGTCCCAGTTGGGCCGGGCGGTGTCCCGGGTGCCCCAGGTGTCAGTAGGAACGAAAGTCCGTTTCCCGTCCGCTGGTGGCCGGGAGGTGTCCTAGTTGGGCTGGGCGGTGTCCCGGGTGTCCCGGGTGTCCCGGGTGTCCCGGGCGCCCCGGCGCTAACGCATGCAGCCGCTAATTTCATATTCATGTTGTTCGGCGCCTGCGCCGCGCATTCTTATCCAATCCAGCCTGTCTTATCCAATCCATCTTGCCCAATCCAATACATCTTATGTTTTCCGACCCGTCTTGTCCCATCTTATATTTTCGCACCCAATCTAATCCACCCAGCCCAATCCATCAATGAATTACCAAATCTAATCCACCCAACCCAATCCATCAATTCATTTGTTTCTGCGCCTGCGGCGGGCCAATCCAATCCATCTTATCTTACCCAATCCATCTCTTCCAATCCAACCCATCCTACAGGCTGAAGGTCAGTCAGGGTGGGCATTTGATCTCCCCCCCCAACCCCCTCATCGCCCGCAGGGCGGTCGCATAGGTATATACATAGGTGCTGTTGTATTTTTCTCGCGGGGACAGTTTCTGCAACAAGGTGCCGCGCGTCGACGCGACCTGGGCGCCGGCCGGTCAGCGCGCAGACTGGTGGGGGCCTGAGAGGTGAGAAGGCCCCCGCCCAAGACACCTCAAAAAGAGAGAGAGGGCCAAGGGAGGGAGGGAAGAGAGAAGAAGAGGCTTGAGTATAGATTGTGGCAGCGGGAGACATCGCCCGAACAATGCCCCTCACCTTCCCTTGCAAGCACACACACAGGTGCTGTTGCAGTTTGCTCGCGGGCACAGTTTCTGCTGCGCGGCGCCGCGCGTCGACGCGACCTGGGCGCCAGCCGGCCAGTGCACAAACTGGCGGGGGCCCGAGAGGCAAGAAGGCCCCCGCTCAAGACATCCCAAACCCGAAGAGGGCCACCCAAATCCGGGGGCCCCCAGGGACGGGCGGGACAGGGCAACAAGAGAAAGCACGCATATTTAAAACAAATTGGCGGGGCAGAAGACTGGCGTCAGCCAGAAGCTAGAGTGGCGATCCAATCGCGCTCATTGGAAGGAAGCGACTGGACCATGGCCTTACACAGAGCTGGAGGGCAGGAGGCTGCGATGGCTATCCATTTGACGCCTGATGGCGCCGCCCCCTCTAACGCGAAATGCTCGCGGCTTGTGCGACTACACAAACCAAGGCTGCCCTGGTATCTGCGATCGAATCTTCCAGCGTCTGCTTTATCTATGAAAAAGAAAGCCAGATTCGTACGCTTCCGCCAGCTTCGCCCAAGCTGACACTGGTAAACAACTCTGGTATGTCCCCATATAGCGGTGCACGATGCTCACAAACTCGGGCGCGTGCCAGATTCGCGAGTTGTTCGGGTGTTCTAGAATGGTCGAAACCCTACTTCGGCACAACACTCGAAGGATACGCAAAGCATATCTGAAAATGCGATTGCCTCGCCCGAGCCTGTCGCACCGGCGAGACGCGAGGCAGCACTCGGGCAGCCCCCAGGGCTCTTCCACAGAGGAGCGGATCGGACCATGCCGCCCGCGATCCGCGGCGCCTCCCCAGGCATCGCACGGCGGGCCCATCGCTGCCCCCCAGCTCTTCGCCTCGGCGCATCGCAGCGCCCAGCCGACTCAGCGCTCTATCGCTGGTCAGGTCCTCTGCTGGTCCGCGTGCGCGATCGAATGCGCGAGCTTTGCAGCCCTGCTGGGCCGCCGCTCGAGCAACCCCCGCGGTGCCCGAATAGACGTCGAGGACGTACCGACCCCTGAAGTGGCCCGCCAGGCGAGCGTCACGCCGCGCGGCCTGCCCAGGAGCATACCCTCGAGCACTGCTACGCAGGCCTCGAGCAGCCCCCGCGCGGGAGCTGACAGCAGTTCCCAGCTCGCTCCCAGCCTGGCATCCTTCTCGCACCGCTGGGCGCTCTTCACACTTGCCTACTGGCCGCGGCGCTGCGCCTCCGACGCGGCGCGGCAGCGTCGCGCGATGTCGATCGACGAGCCCGAGCGCCTCGTCTGATACGGCACGATGGTCTCGCCGATCTCGAGCTCGGCCAGCGCAGCTTTGAACTCCATCGGGCGCTGCGGGTACGTGAACGTCCAGACCGACCCCCCCCGCGGCCCATCGACGAACGCTCTCAGGATCGGTCCTAGAAACTGCAGGCATGGGGAGTCCAACACTATGCTGACATCGCTGAGAACTGTCTTGCTCCGCTCCGCGTGCTGCGAAGGGAAAAGGAGCAGGTTCCAGAAAGGGGAGACCCCCGCAACTGGCGCAACGACACCACGGCGACCCATGCCCCACAACGGCCTCAAGCACATGCTGAGGGGCACAAGAGGAAACGCAGCCATCTGCAACGATCCCCGCTCCACCAGCCGCCGAGCTATGCCAGCGCGCAGGGCCAGCGGTCACCTCCGCCGACTGCGACCCGGCGCCCGGCGCCGCCATCCCTTCAGGCAGCGAAGGGCCCGGGGGGGCAGGCGGCCGCCAGCCCGCGAGATATCCGGCGCCAGGCACATCGAGCCAGCCAGGACCTGCTCGCCCTTGTTCGCACCCCAGCGACCGCCCGCGCGCGAAGTCGATGAAGCCGCCGACCTCGGCATGGCGGCGCCCCAGCATCTTCGGAGTCACCGAGCTCTGCTCGAGGAAGGTACTCGCTCCCAGGGCGGGGGTCGCGAGGGCGAGGCCCAGGAATTTGCGTCGCCTCTGGTGGCCCGCGCGCCTCAGCACTGCCCGCCGCGCGGCGCTGGGCCCGGGCCTCGCCTCGCCGTCGGTGCCGCTGCTCACGCCGACGTCGGCCAGCGCCGGCGCGCGGCTCAGCTGCTCGTCGGTCTCGGGGGGGCCGAGCTCCTGGCGACTGCAGCCCAGACGATCGCGCAAGGCCAGCTGGACGTCCTGCGGGCGGGGCGTCGCCCTCCGCCGGTTGGCCAGAGACGCGTGACCTCGTCGGCCCCCGGTCGGCCGAGGCTCCGAAGGGGGCGAGCTCGCCTGCCGCCCCCTGGCAGCCACGGCTGCAACAGCCCGTGGGCTCGGAAGAAACACGAAGGGAACATGGTAGATCTTGGGCCGAAATGCCTACGGACCTGCAACGAGGGGCAGCCTGAACAGGAGCGGCTAAATCACAATGGTTCGGGGATTGAAGATATTCACAAGTCCCCTTTTAAACTGTTGCCGTGGACACTCGCAGAAGGGATCTCATCGACCAACGTCTTACTAGCACTGCTATTCTCAAAAACTCGAATACCCTTGTCCGCGAAGTTAAGCTCGGAGGGGATCCAACGAACGGCACCAAGGACATTCCTGGCCAAACAGTGGGCCTGGAAAGCGCGAATCTGGACCAGGGGCAAGAAGTTTTTGGCGCGGCTCCTACCAAATGCGAGGGTGACCGACATATTATCACAGAGAAGCAAATGTCTCATATCACTGACGTGTACACTGGTCGCAACACGAATGAATCCTTTCACTAAGGCTCGAGCTCCCTCGACAAGAACGCCTTCGACTCTCTTCCATTTCTGCGCATTCACCAACCGCCAAAAATCTGACTTCAAGAGACTGGCGGGCACCTCGGGGAAAGACCGGACGACTTCCCAGTCTCGCGCCGTCTCCGAGGGCGGCTCGTCGCAGCCCCGCTCATCTGCCCCCGTGGCGACTGACCAGCCCCCGTCCGCCTGCCACCTGAAGCCCGCGGTTTCGAGGGCACTCTCTCGGGCACGGGGGGGCCCGACTCGCCGAAAGCGCTTGCGCTCGGAGGTGCGGCCCACCTCCCTCGGGGCATCCAGGGGCCAGGAGGCCTGCGCCACGGCGCAGCCCTCAAGGCCGCTGTCGGCCTGCCCCGCCAGGACGTTCCAGCCGCGCAGCTAGTCGCTCACCATGAAGATCATGAGGGGCCTGAAAACACGCAGCTCCTCTCGGCACTCGCCCCGCAGCGGCTTAGCCCGGCCCGAAGCGCGCCCGCGCTCCACGAACGCGCGCGCCGAGTGGAAGACGCCGAGCAACCTTCGGCAGCACAAGGCAGCAAAGGCGCAGGGGCCGAGGACCACCTGCACGGACCAAGCGCTGGCCCGCTTGCGCCTCAGTAGTGCATCCAGCGCCGCGTAGACGTTCCAGATGCGCTTAGGCGCGACCCGCGCCCTCAAGGCGGCGCCGTCTAGCTCTGCGCCCAAGGCCGCGATGCCCGCCCGCGAGAGCTCGGACTCATGCAGCAGCAGGCCCTCACGATTGAAGCCCCCCTCCAGCTGCTCGAGCGCCCGGCCGACAGCCTTCTCGCAGACCCCGATCGCGCCGAGGTTGTCCACGCGCGCGTAGTAGCCGATCTCGTCGGCCTCCTCCGCCAGCCAGGGCCTCGCCACCAGCGGCGGCGCGCGGTCCTGCAGAGGGGGCCTCGGCAGCGAGGGCGCAACCCTCGTCACGTGGCCTCGTCGATCATCTGCGCGATCCACAAACTCCACGCGGAGCCCATGGGCAGGACGGCCCGGCGCGGGGTTGCTGCCTCCGAGCGGCCGAGCCGGCGGCCGTGCACCTCCGCGCCCGCCGCTCCCATCGCGCGGGGCGGCGCCGGGGGGGGGGGCAGAAGTAGTCAGGCGGCCACGCAGGCACGCGCAGCCGATGGAAGCAGTTCGAGACGTCGGAGAGCCCGACCGCCAAGTAGAAGTCGCTCAGCAGCTCGACAGTCCGCTCGGAACCCAGCGGCGCGTCGGCGGGCAGCTCCACCTCCGCGCGAGAGAGCCCCTCCGATCCCAGCAGAGACACGCCTGGCGGCGCCTTGAAGCACTCGTTGGCCCGCCTGGCGTCGGCGATGAGGCGCTGGGCCGTGCCGCCGTCCGTCTCCACCGTGAAGAGGCCCGCCTGGCTCTTCGGGGTGGACGTCCAAGATATAATGCCGATCTCCGCTAGACGGCGGAGCAGACGATGATACCCCCTCTGATTGAACCTCAGCACAGGATCGAAGTAGGGGGCGGTCTCGTACACGTCGGCGGATGGCGCCAGCGTGCGCTCCTGATAGGCCCCCAGGAATCCGATGACCCCCAGGGGCGCCATGTCAGTCATTAATGGGCACTCCTGAACTGAGCCTAGCAGACCCACGAGGTCGATATTGAGGGACGCGACCCTTGTCGGACAACCCGCCGCCCGATACGGCGAGTGCCCCTGAAGCAGCTTCTCCAGAGCCGTCTCGTCGCTGAAGTGGGAAGGGCGCGGGCGCCAGCTGTCGGCCAACAACTCACGCGCCCTTCTCTGGCCCATCTGCCGAATCACGCTGTCCTGCTCTGCCTTGCTCACGTCGGCCCACGGCTTGTTCATGATCGCCTTCAGGTTGGGCCCGAATTGAGCTTCGTCATCGAGGGCGGCTGGCCTGCGCAAAGCTGGGCCGACTCCAGTCGCCTTCGTCGGTGCTGGCGATTTTTTGATGGCAGGCTTACCTCTCGTCAACTTCAATTTGGGCCCCATGGACACACGCGGGGACACTGACTATGCGAAATGCTCGTCCGATACAGAGAAACCACAGATGTCATGAAAGATTTTGAGCCGAAAGTGGCTACGACCGTTGTTGATGGTGTTGTTGCTGTTGTTGTTGTTGCTGTTGCTGCTGTTGTTGTTGTTGTTGGTGTTGTTGTTGTTGTTGTTGTTGGTGTTGTTGTTGTTGTTGTTGTTGTTGTTGTTGTTGGTGTTGGTGTTGGTGTTGTTGTTGTTGTTGGTGTTGTTGTTGTTGTTGTTGTTGTTGTTGTTGTTGTTGTTGTTGTTGTTGTTGTTGTTGTTGTTGGTGTTGGTGTTGTTGTTGTTGTTGTTGTTGTCGTTGTTTTGTGTGTTTGCTGTTGTTGATCCCGTCCTTGTTTTCCGGCGGCCGCAAGGCCTGTTGGGCTTAGGTTATTGGTTATTCGATATGCAGGGGGGGCCGTCTCCCGCTGCCCCCCCCCCTGCGCCCTGTTTTCGTTTTGGAAAAAAAAAAATCGCCTAACTCCTCTCCCTTCTCTGAACCGCCCCCCCCTGGGCACCCGCGGAGGGGGGGGCAAGATGGGGACGGGGACTACCAGGACGGAAAAGATGACGGTGGCGAGGGAAGAGGATGAGGAGGAGGAGGAACAGGGGCGCGCCGGGCTGCCCCCGACAGCAGCGGAATCGCCCGGTTCGGCGGCACTGGCCGGAGGCCACTACAATCAACATAGGCCCATTGACACGCGCGGCAACTGGCCAGGGGGAAAACTTCAAGAGACGGGCGTAGACCGAGGCCAATTGCATCGAATAGACAAGCACCACGAAAGGAAGCGAGAAAGCCAAATGTGGCACGCGGCGAGTGACAAAGGCAAGGCGTCAACAATATCGATAGCGACCTTGCTGCGTGCGCCGCCCCCGCGCCCGCCCATGGAATCGCGGGCTGCCCGCCCCGCCCACCCCCGCAAACAGAAAACACATTGCGACCCCGAAGCAATACGCAATGCCATTGCGACACACAGGACCAGAAACACATACAGCAATGCCATGGTTCAACCACATACGCTCACAGCATACGCAACGAGTCTCAACAGGAAAACGACGGACACCACACGCACCTGTGTATACATATTCTCATACGCACCTCTCCGAGGGAGTAGAGCTCAGAGGCGATTAATGCGTCCGTCGTTCGCGATTTGTCTGGCCGTTTCGCTCGGGACATCCTCGAAATTCTGAAAATCGGTGGCACCCCTCACGCAGATCGTGACGTCAGGGTCCAAAAACACATATGATTTCCAACATTTTATCATAAAACCTTCAAAAACACATGGTAATTTCATTGACGGTTTCGCCTGAGACATCCTCCCAAAATCGAGCCCCAGACCCCTCCTCGGAGCCTCCTGGGGGCCTCCTGGAACCTCCTGGGGCCTCCTGGGGCTTTCTGGACCTTCTGGTACCCCAGACCCTGCCTCGGAGCCTCCTGGAGTTCTCCTGGCCTGCTGAGGCCGCCTGGGGCCTCCTGGGGCCTCCTGGGGCCTCCTGGGGCTTCAGAACTACATGCACACACAGAGACACAAATCACGCCCAACACATCACACGCTAGACAAACATAACATACACACACACACAACACCGACAACACGCAAAAAGCACGCACCACACAAAGCACACATCACACACACACACAACACTCACAATCCTGGGGCCTCCTGGAGCCTCTCCTGGTATCCAAGTCGGGCCTCCTGAGGCTTCCTGGGGGGCCCTGGTACACACATCGCAAGGTGTGGCAACCCCACTTGCGCTCGAGTGCGACTTCGCTGTTGCATGTCACTCCTGCTTCAAACGCCCCTTCAGCTTGTTGTATGAGCCTGGGCACACACGTGCCACTTGTATATATATATATATATGCACAGAGATGCGTATGTAATTATATATATATATATGTGCAGAACCGGCATGTCAAGCATACACACCTTGTCATACGTAACATCATAGCAAGCACGCACAACGCACGCAGCGGACGTACCCAACCATTACGCATGAAACGACATGCGTACATACCAGGCACAAGGAGCATGCAGACGGACACACAACCAAAGCCCTAACATAGCACGCAGTAGAGTCACACGCGACGGACTTCGAAACCGTTCGCATCCGCTCATTGGTGGGGACCACCCGAGGTAAATCAACTTGGTTCGTCGCTCAAGGGGGCCCGCATGGTCTTGGGCGGCGAGACCTATGCAGGGGTGCTGGCACGGGCCATGCCCGTCCTGGGCCTACCTGCATAGGTTTCCTGGGCGTATGCACCGATCCTGGGCGTATGCACGGTTGGCTTGGCCAGTGCGGTGAATGTGCATTGTTGCATATCGTCCTCATACGCCGAAAACTCACGACTAGAGCCTTGGACCTGATCTTCCTGCGGCATGTTTTCAAGGCCGATTTGACCTGTGGTGGCCCCACGGCCCGATACAGGGCGAGAACGCGCAGTAAAGAAATTGCAACTCCTGGATCTCAGGGTAGCGGCAGGGTTCGCATGATGTGGTCGCCCACAGGGGGTCGTCATGCAGCTGAAGGCAGCGTCGTCAGCTGCGACGGCCGATGCCCACAAGGCCGTCACGGCGGCGCTCCGCGACCACGTGCAGCGGGAGGGCTTGTCGGCCGAAGCGCTGTACGCCGAGCTGAGCAAGGACGCCTTCGCTTCTCCTGTTCCTGATCCTCGCCGTCGTCGTCCTCGAAACGTTTTATTCCTATTTGGGGCCTCTCGGGGCCCTCGCTGGGCCCCGGGGCGGTCAGAAAACAACGCAGGATGAAAATCCGGTCCAGGGCAATGGGTCGTGACATGTGGGGGTCCGGGGGTGAAACCCTAGTCCTCCTCGTCTATTCAAGTTGTTGATTGCCTCATTTGGGCTCACACGGGATTCAACCCGACGTGACTGGTGCCAGGTGACCGAAGCCAGAGCTCGGCGGGGGCAGGGGCCACGGGGCTCGCTCTCCGTGGCGCTTCCGGGACTGCGCCCACTATCCTACTTGCCGTCTGCCTCCTCCAGGGCAGCCCGCTCATCCCCGCGGTCGCGCTGCGCGCCTTCCTCGACAAGATGCCCGAGCCGAAGCCAAAGGCGCGCCATCTCGGCCTGGGCCTGGAGCGCTACAAGGCAGGCATGCCCAAGCTGACCTTCTTCGACATAGCGCAGGAGTACGTGAAGGTCGTCAAGGACATTACCGTCACGGATGGCCCCGACCTAAAGGAGGGCAAGACCCTCAGGAAGATGCAGCTGGAGGAGATTGCGCAGGTTCTCGAGAGAAAGAAGGGCGAGGATGCGGGGAACCTGGAGCGCGTGAGGTGCATCGCGCTGACCGATTTGACCGAGGGCTGGATCACCGTTCAGGGCAGCCAGGGCACCGCATTCCTGGAGCCGTGCCCGAAGCCGTACTACTGCTTCGAGGAGGACGTGATGCTGGCGGCCGGGCCCACCCCCGACGCCGCCCCGGCGGAGGGCGCCCGCCGCATCAAGGCCGGGGAGGTGCTCGACCCCTCTCGCCCTCTTCCGCCTCCCCCATCGAGCCTGGCATCGCTCGGACGTGTGCACTCGTTGTCGGCGAGGACCCTCGAGGAGCACAGTGGAGCACGTTGCGAAGAACTGCACGCACGAAGCCGAACAGTGCACGGGGAACGGACGTCCGAGCGATGGCGAGCTGGGCTGCCCACAGGGGCGCGGAGGCAGCAGCGTTCCACGGCCTGGGTCGGAGGGCTGGCCCCCCAGGCCTGAGATGGTCGTGCTTCGTGCAGCGCGGAGCGGGAGCGGAGCTGACCTTTAGGCCCTCCCCCTCCTCCCCGAGGTGCTCGAGCTTCGCGAGGGACCCAGGGTCGAGGAGCCTCGGACGCTGATGCGAGTGGAGTGCAAGTCCGCGAAGGACTCGGGGAGGGGGTCTCACAGCGCAGACGTACAGGTTTGGGCGCTCATCCCTTTACACAGTCAATTCTAAACTCTTCGCGTATCCCCACCAGCCCCGTCCAGAAACGAGTCTCAGGGGAGTGGAGGTGACGAGGGAAGCGGGGGAGCATGCAGTAAAACAAAGGGCGGGGTAAGCCGCCATATACCCCAAGAGGGGGAGGACGTAGGAGGAGTCGTCGTCGTCGTCGGAGTAGAAGGAGGAAGAGGAGGAGCAGGAGGAGGAGCAGGAGGAGGAGCAGGAGGAGGAGCAGGAGGAGGAGGGGGAGGAGGAGGAGAAGGAGGAAGATGAGGAGGAGGAGGAGATGGAGGAGGGCGAGGACGTGGAGGACGAGAAGGAGGAGAAGGAGAAGGAGGAGGAGGAGGAGGAGGAGGAGGAGGAGGAGGAGGAGGAGGAGGAGGAGGCGAGGGAGGGGGAGGAGGGAGGAGGAAGAAAAAGAGGAGGAGGAGGAGGACAATGGCGAGCTTGGGGGCCTCTTGGGCCGTCTTTGGGGCCTCTTGGCGGTGGGCAGCCTTTTGGGGTCTCTTGGCTTTTGGAGGCCTCTTGGGCGCCTCTTGGGGCCCTCTTGGGGCCCTCTTGGGGCGCTCTTTGGGCGCTCTTGGGAGCCTTCGGGGCGCTCTCGAGGCCATGTTGGAGGAGATCTATCAAAGAATGGGGGGGGGGAATTAGCGTTGCCCCTCTAGAGTGCCTCGAATCGCCTCTTGGGCCCCAAAGGAGGCCAACATCCTTCCAAAACCTAGGGAAATCAATGTTTTTGTGCTTTCTCGCCTTTTCGCTCTTGGAGCCGTCTTGGGTCTTGGGCCACCTTGGACACCCCAACGACCCGCAGAACCCCCCGTCCAGGTCCAGGGTATCGGGTAGGGGGAGGGGTAAACCCCCCCGAAGGGGAAGAAGGAGGTTGGAAGAGGAAACTCTCTAGACCACCGTCGCCCAGAGGGCTGGTGGGATCCCTCACGTTGTGAATGTTCCTTGCAAGGACGGAAAGAAGGGCTGGATCACGCTGAAGGCGGGCGACGGTCCCGAATGTACCGAGAAGGTGAAGGTGTTCTGCTGCATGCGCACCATTGCCATCACGCAGGACTTTGCCATTAGCGGCAAGGCCCTGAGAAAGCTGGAGGTCGGCGAGGTCGTGGACTTGCTGGAGGATCCTAAAGATGACGAGAAGAAGAAGATGAGCCGCGGCAAGATCAAGACCAGGCGAGACGGCAAGGAGGGCTGGGTCACCATCAAGGGCAACCAGGGCACCGCCTTCCTGGAGGAGAGCCAGCGCCACCACGCCGTCCAGCGGGCGGTGCCGCTGGAGCGCGAGAAGGCGTCTGGTGGCGCCGCGGTGCGAATGCTAGAGGTGGGCGAGGTGGTGGAGCTGCTCGGGGAGCCCTTCCCGGAGACGGAGGACCGGCGATCGACGCCTGATCCTCGCCCCCTTGCCCTTGCGGCTCCAAACTCCAGGGGCGAGGGGAGGACGGGAGCCATGGATGCGAACCCCCCCCCCCCCGTGGGCTTGCCTGCGGATTCCTGTCCGTGCCCCCTTTCCGCCCCCCGTCCCCCCTCGGAGGGTTGGGAGCAGGGCATGGGGCACCGTCAGCGCGCCGGCCGCCTTCACAAGGAGAGCCTGAATCGGATGAGAGGGCGCAATCCGAGCGATGGCACCGAAGGGTGGTTCACGCTGGCGCAGCACTTGGTGAGACCCTGGGTCCCCGCCTACACCTGCGCCATCAGCACCCCGCTGACGATCGGCGTGTCCGCGAGCTCCACCGCGCACCGCGCCGTGGGCTTCTCGGAGGCGCTGGAGGCCCTGGACGTGCCCGTCTTGGACTCAGGCTCCGGCCTCGTCCGCTGCCGGGTGAAGGCTGTGCGCGACGGCACTTGTGGCTTCGCTACGCTCCGCGACAAGGATCGGCCCCGCGCAGAGCGGGGTAGCGGGAGGGGGGAAGGCTTCTCAGAAGCACCCTTGCTTCTCAGAATGCGTGGGCCTTGTCTACAGATGTAAGGCCAGCGCTTTCTAAGAAGCAGCCTCCTTCTAAGAAGCCTTCCCCCCTCCCCCTACTTCTGCTGCGCGCCGCCAAAAGGACGGGGGGGCAGAAGAAGGCATACCGGTTCTGCCCTCCCCTCCGTTCCCTCAGGGGCAGCATCGCGAGGGGATATAGGCTCAGGGAGGAGCGCGTCGATCCCCAGTCGCCCATGCAGCGCCGTCAAGGGGCCGACCGCCCCGCCCCGCCCAGGGCCGTGCGGCTTTGCCAGTGGCCCATCGCCGATCTGTCGGCGACGTATCCCCGATTCCAGCTCGAAGGTGCCCCCCCCCCTGAGCCGCTCCCCGCCGAACGTTGACCCTCGCCTCTGTCCCCCCCCCCCGTCTTCGCCCTCCCCTCCAGCGCCACCGTTCACAAGGGCTAGGGGCATCTGGGGGCGTCAGGGCGCTGGCCGGAACATCGGTCCCTTTCCACCGCATCGGGGATGTCGTGGTCGGTGTTTTGGGGGACCGCCCCGCTTTCGGCCAGAGCCAGGGCCTTCGAGGGGTCCGAGAGCCCGCGTGTTCCCCACCCTCGTCTCCCCGAACCCCGCCGGTGTCGAGCATGCATACCCACGCGCGGGTGCATCGGAGAAGGGGTGGCCCCAGAAGGACCCGAAACAATTGCTGGCGGCCAAAGCCGGGGAAACGTGAGACTCGAGCTCGCCGGGACGGGTTTGCCGTCATTTTGTTGACGGACCCGTCTTCATTTTTCACGATGCAATTTTCGAGGGATGTTTGCAGCGGTAGTTCGCGTCAAATTTCAGATTGGCTCGTCGTTTTCCTGACGGCCCCGTCAGGCCAAGCCGAGTCCCCGGAACCCGCGTCTTACGTCTCTCCGGCGACGAGGGGGAGGACAGCGCCGACGAGCAGCCGTTGCGGGCGACGACGACGACAAGGCAGACGACGACGAGGCCACGGGTTTAGATGACGACAGACGGTGACGACGACGACGACGACGACGACGACGACGACGACGACGACGACGACGACGACGACGACGAGGGGGAGGACGACGACGACGACGGGGAGGACAGCGCTGACGAGCAGCCGACGAGGGCGACGGCGACGACAAGGCAGGCGACGAGGCCGCGGGGCCCGAGCACGGCCGTGGCGGTACGCGAGCAGTTGTGGCGGTCTGTGCTGGTCGCGCGGTGTGCGCCGCAAGCGAGCGGGCACGCACGGGAAGCCCGACGGGAGGATCACGGGATGGACGCGGGGGGGACACCGCCGCACTGGGCACTTCTCTTAGATACAGGAGGAGGATGAGGAATTGAGATACTGAGGTAGTGAGGTAGACAGTCGCGTTCGAAGGCAAACGTTGGGTGCACGTGGCCAAACTGTGCATGGAGGAGGGTGGGCGCAGGGCCGCCCCAGGACACCTGCGTGGGAGGTACTGACGTTTGGCGGCGAAATCCCAGCCCTTCCCTCGCCGATCAACGATTCAGGCAACTCGAGTGGCGGTGGGAGGTAGGGTTCGGAAATCGTCGAAGACGTGGCGAAATCCGAGCCATACCCCCGCCTCCCATCGATTCAGGAGAATCGATGGATGGTGAGGCTCGGTTCTTGACGCCTGGAGGTAGACAGTAACAGCTCTCCCCAGGCAAGCACAGCTAGGAAACAACACTGGTAACGCGATGTGCGCTTCAAGCTGAGCTGCCTGGCGAGCTTCTCGCGAACAGCGCTGGCGGCGCGATGTGCGGGCACGCGTGGAGTGAGCTTCCTGGTTCAGTTCCGGCCAAGACTGCTGGCCGCGCGATGGCTTCCGGGAGCGATCGGGCACTCTGAAAGTGATCATCCTGGGAAATCTTCGGCAACAGCGCTCGCGACGAAATGTGCGCAGCAAGCGAGCGGGCACGCTTGGAGTGAGCTTCCTGGCAAAATGTTGGCAACGAAAGTGCCCGGGAAGCCAGCGGGCACGTTTGAAGTGAGCTTCCAGCTTCCGGGCAACAGTGCTAGTCAGGCGGTGTGCACGGCAAGCGGGCGAGCACGCACAGGAAGCCCACAAAAGGCTCACGGAATGGACACCTTCTAAGGTAACTTGTCTTGTGGGAGTTGCGAAAAGTAGGCAGTATAACCATTAGGCATTCGGCAAGCCTATTTATATGGGGAACAACGCTGGTAGCGCGATTTGTTCCGCAGGCAAGCGACCATGGTAAAGGTACGTATCGTGGCGAGCTTCTTGGGAACAACGTGAGCGGCACAATGGCTGGAAGGTTTCTTGGCCATAGCGATGTGCGCCGCACGCGAGCGATGTAATTACGCTCGGAGTGGGCTTCCTGGTCGCAACGCTGGCCGCGCGAGGGCTGCTGGCAGCGAGCGGGCCCGCTCGGCAGCAGTGGAGCGGTCGCGCTGATTATGTGCGCCGCAGGCGAGCAGGCACGTCCGGGAAGTCCACGGCAGGCCCACGGGAGGGACGTTGCTCAAGGGCACCCCTTGCTTCGGGGAAGAGAAAGTGACATAGATAACAACACGTCGGATGTCCGCGCAGATTCCTCGGATCTGCGCTGGAGCCCCCCGGCGGCGCCTCTGGCGCCGCCCGTGGCGCGCTCCGCGCGGCAGGGGGGGGGGGCTGCGCCGATCCGAAACATCTGCGCGGACCTCCGATTCTTTCTGTTTCTGCCATTGTTTGTCCCCTAACTATTGTAGGAGCGATTGAAACAGGCAGTGCGAAAGACCTGAGCAGGCATTGTTGTGGGAATACTGCACAAACATACATTTTGGAAGTCCTCACGGATTTCTTCGGTCGGCGCTGGCCCCCCTCCCCACAGCCCTTCCTTAGCGCGCGGAGCGGGCCAGGGGCGGCGTCGGAGGCGCCGCCATGGGTGCGGGGAGGGGTGGGTTCAGCGCGGCCCAGAGAGATCCGCGCGGACCATGTGTAGTGCATGCCGCTCGTTGGTCGCCTGTTCATGCCTGCAATTCGATGACTGTTGTTCCCAAAGGCCCCCTACTTCACCCTCTCCCGCCAGCAGGGATAGGGAAGGACGGACCCCTGAGTCCAGGCTGCCTGCCTCCTCCTCCTTTTCTGCGAGCCTCGGGCTCGTTTGACTGCCGCTCTCCATCGTCCTGTCGGTTGGGACGCTCGGGTGAAAGCGAAGCGCCTGCTGCTCCCCGAGGACAGCGTGCCCCTGCTGGTCCCGCGGATGGACGGCGACTGAGACTCCGCGTGCGGGGGCCGCCGCTCGGATTTGGCAAGGCTTTATAGGACCTATAGTACCTTTGCACCGATTGGAAAGAGCGCGCCGCTCGTGGGCGTCCGCGGCGGCGTCGACGATGGCGGAGGCGTCTTCGAGTCGGGTGGGGGGTGCTCGGTGATCGGTGTGGATTCGCGCCGCCACGGCTGGACGGGGCTCGGACGCACTGGTCGGGATGGATCTCGGGAGGGGCCTGCGGACCGACTATGGGGGGGAGTAGTGACTTGTGCTCAGGTCGGTACGAGCAGCTTGGTCGGCAAGCGCACGCGCACATTTCTCGTCCCAAGGTGGGTGTTCCGGCCGTGGGCCACCATGGCAATCAGCACCCCGCTCATCGTGATGGATGGCCAATGCGCTGGTGGTGCACTACACCTTTTAGCCGTGAAAGCACAAGCCAGGAGGTCCGTCGTTTGACGGCATTTCCAAGTGTGTGTACAAGAACGCTTCGTTGGCACATGTATGCAATCGCGTGTTTCCATCACTGATTGCCCCGGGGCCACGCAGCGCGATAAAGTTCGAATGCGCGAGACCGCCATCAAATCGACGTCTTGGCACAGGAGTCGTCGCGTCTTTTCTAGATCCTCCTCCGCCCTCCTCGGAAATAGCCAGAATGCCAACCCAACTTCCGAAAACCTCCCCAAACCTCAAAACACTTCCTCCCCCCTCTTCCCCCCCTCTGCACCATCTCGCCACCCCAGTTGGGGATACGCACTTCGAAACCCGAAGGAAGCGGCCGGTATCCCCATCTCGGGGGGTAAGTCGGCCAGTGGGGCCCAGGCCACGCCCGTGGGGCAAGGGGTCGACTGAACGATGCTCTCTAGGACCGAGGAGCGGCCGGCGTGAGCCCTGGAGCCCTGAGTCGCACGACGCCCGCGCAAGACCGCTGCACCCTCCAGTCCCGCCTCCTGCGGCCGCGCATGTCGACTGCGCGGCAGCAGGAGCCGATGTGGGGATGGGCTTCGGCAGGCCGTAGAGATGGAAAGGTTCGGGCCCTGGGGGCCAAACGATCCATGCAGTCAGCCCGCACAGCAAGGATGGGCAACCTTCCCAAGGGTACCCCTTGCATCCTTCAGGAGAGGAAAAAACACACAGACACAATTAATCCTCGATTCCCCAGAAAATATTGGAAAATACGGGAAGTGGGGGGGAAGGCAGAAACCCAGAAAATATGTGAAAATATGGGGGGATCTTTTATTTGTGTCTATTTATTTGTGTGTCCTGGGGCCCCTTCAATCCTGGCCTCATCGGTCCATCCTTGGCCACTGTCGTTGGCCGCGCCCCGCTCGAAAAGATTCGAAATGGGCGTCCAAGGCCCTTGCATCCTTATCGCGCATCCTTGTGATACGGGCCGACTGTATCCACCGCCGATCTGGGGTCCCCGAAGATCGATCCCCCAGGCAGTGGTTCTGGATGAGTCCCCACCTCGCATCAGAAGTCTCCAGCGGGCGGACCCTCTGCGCAGACGGCGAGCTGTCATGCGGCCACCCCCAATTGCGGGGGCCCGGCCTCCTCCTGCTCCTCCCTCCCCTTCCTCCTCCCTGCTCTGACTTCGAAAGAGGAAACGGGGCCGTCTCGACGCCCAAATATTGGTCATGGTCCATGCTGGCCGTCGCTGGTATCGCGCGGACGATCCACGAATTGACGATGACCAACATTGGCGATGACGAAGATCGACACCGACGTTCCTGCTCTCAGTCTTGGTCATGGTCATGGTCATTGTTTTTCCTTTCCATCCTTTACCCCTATTTCTTGTCATCCCTTCCCCTCTGCCTCATCTCTCCTCCTTGCAGCTTCGTGCGCTCAGTGGTCATCCTCCAGCTCTTCCGTGTTATCCTTCTTCTGTTCATCTTCTCTGAGAAAGGAACTTTCAGAACAGAGGAATTGAAATGCGGGGCGCATCCCTTTTCAGAAGTTCGGTCTCGAAGCAACGGACAGCCTCGAACCGCGAGCGAGGATCCTAGTGCCCTGCCCCCCTTTGGGTAGCAATTCCTTGGAGGTTGAATTCAGCATCGTCTGTGGTACATCCTGAGTCGGAATATGACAACATCCCGTTTAATATCGCAAAGCATGTTTTCAAGATTGCCTTAATTGTTTGATTCACTTGGCGCAGTGAATTGCCAATCGGGCTGAAGACTATGTTGCCGTTCGCACGGAGACCTCCCAGGAATTGCCTCCCAATCTCCTGCTGCGGCCGTGGCGGAAGGCGCGTGGGATCGTGCGGCAGAACTTGCGCCTGGCCACCCTCTCCATCGTCGGCGCCAGCGCGTGCGTGCTGATCTTGAGGATGCCCTTCTGGCTCGGCGCGCCGTTGCACGAGGGTGCTTCCTCCTCCTCCTCCTCCATCCTATTTCCCTATAAACAGCTCCTTGTCGCACCCCGAGACGTGTCGGTTGGGCGGGCCAGGCGTTTCGATTCATACTTCTTCACCATTTATGATTTTGCAGCTCAGAGGTTGCAACCGTTTCACGGGGTTCGCAGATGGAGGGCGGTTCGTGTTCAAAGTGTGGTTCTCGCATTAGCGCCACGCACGCTCGTTTTCAAAGTTTGCCAGAGCTTCTCGGATGGAGGGCGGGCCGTTTTCAAAATGTGATTCTCGCCTTAGCGCCGCGCACGTTCGTTTCAAACGTGTTTCAAGAGCTTCACGGATGGAGGGCGGTCATTTTCCAAAATATGATTCTCGCATTTGTGCCGCGCCTTTTGTTTTAAGTCGCAGCGCGGCAGAGGCAGTCCGCACGCGCATCCAGGCAACCAGGGTTACGGTGAAGCGAATTAGCCCGCATGCAAGATTAGGGAAAAGCTGAGGGGCGGCCGCAAAGACAGGAGGTGGGAGAGGAGGACGCACTCACGATGCGAGGCCGCGCGCGGGGCGGACAAGCCACAGAGCAGCAGTTGGCAGCACGCGTGGGGCAGCAGCGCGGGCGCACCCAGGGGAGGAGCCGGCGGCTGCAGTGCAGCGTGGTGCCCAGCAAGTGGGGACTGCAGGAGCGGCGGGCCGCCAAGATGGCGGGCCAGGGGGCGGGGGGGCCAAGTGGTGGCTGCGCGTGACAGCTGCGGTGGGCTCGGCGTGTAGCCCTGCGTCAGTGCGTCGTCGCAGAGGCGAAGCGCAACCGCGGCCCGCTTGAGGGGGGACGGCGGGGCTGAGCGGAGGGGCCACGCAAAGCCGAGTGGCAGGAGGAACCCAGGCGCCCAGCTGTTGCTGACTGTGCTGCGCATACTTGTGCATCAAAGTGCCATAGTTTCACCGATGGAGGGCGGGCCGTTATCAAAGTGCGGTCATGGCTTTAGCGCCGCACACGTTCGTTTAAAACATTTGCAGCATCTTCACGGATGCAGGGCGGGCCGTTTTCAAAATGTGGTTCTCGCCTGAGCACCGCGTGCACCTGCTATAAACAATTGCAACACTTTCAGGGACTCGTGCGGTTGAAGGCCCAGGAATGGGGTTATGGCACGGTTCTACATCGTCAAGACGTAACCGTTTCATGTCTTCGTGGTGTTGAAGTCCCAGGAACGGCCTTCTGGCACGATTCAGGGTCGTCAGGGCGCAACAGTCACGTAGATTCGCGGCATTTAAAGTCCCGGAAAGGATGTTGCGGATTCTCTGGCGTTTGTTCTCTCATGCGGAACTTCTTGCGATTAGCAGAATTTGATCGTAGGGATCTGTGCAGAAGGAACTTGGAGGGAGGGTTTAATGCAGCATCGTTGGTACGTTTTGGGGTTGCACTGGTCCTCCTTCTCCTCCTTTTCATCGTCATCCTCCGTCGCCATTTTGGCTCAAGATGTTTTTTTCTTCGGGACCTGAAGTGGATACCTGTAGTCCGAGGCTAGCTCCCGACTCAGGCAACCCCAGACGAGTTGGCGGTCCCAGATCGCCCGGTTGCCGACGTCGAACGGCAGCTGCGCCTCGGACATGGCCAGCTGCTGCTTAACGGCCGCCACTTCAGCTTGAACTGCAGCCTGCTCAGCCGCAGCCTGATCTTGTCGCTGGCGATGTGCCTGCACCTCGCGAGCCCGCGCATCCAGACGCCTGTGAGTGCGCTCCTGCTCCACCAGGAACGACGTGCGCAGCTGGCCTGCGATGGTCTCCATTTCGGCCGCAGCAGCGCTGGCAGCCGCCCTCGCGACCGCCGCAGCCGCCGCAGCTCGAATCACATCGATGTCCACCCGCGCAGCCTCTCGAAGACGTTGCTCGAGTCCACCAGAACCTTGCGTGCCACTCCACGGATCATTCTCCCGCAGCGGGCCCACGCTGCCGCCGGCAGCGACGGGCGTCGCGGCGCCGCCGTACTGCGCTGCTGCAGCGAGGCCAGCACCATCAGGACGACCAGGTTGTACTTCAGCTTCAGGAAATGTGGGGGCCGCGCCCATGTCCGCTGCCAGCTGCTCGACCGCAGACGACGACAAGGCAGCGAGAACAGCAGCGGAATCGCCAACTTTACGTTCGGCGCCTGTCTCTGGTTCACGGCGGCCAGAAGAGCGAACGCCAGCGCGGCGAGAACGAAATAGTGGGCCATCACGATCGACGCGAACATCACTGCGTGGTCGATCGGCACATGCGTTACCACCTTGGCGAACACGTTAACTTCCGTTTCGGTCCCGCTCACGGTCTCGGTCACCTCAGTGTGCCCGTCCAGACCGCCGAACAGGAGTGTCGCGGTGCCTGTCTCCGCGGCCTTCGAGGTTGTCACTGCGGCTGCGGTCAGTCTCGCGACAATCACTAGAATCACTACGATCAGAAGGAGGCATGGGATCCGACGACCACTGCCAAATACCACCGCGCTGCTGCCACCAGATGCCTCTGTGGCTGTGCGGGTACCGACAAGGGAGGGCCATCGCGAAAGAGAAGCTTGGATGCTATGGAATGCTGACGTGGCCGCAAGGCCCAGCGGGCTGCGCCTGCTGCCCCGAATGATGTGCGCGATGCTCTCGTTCATTGGATTGCTGAGGCGAAACTTCAGCCCGCGCAGTGGGAGCTAGCCAGTGACGTCGTGGCAAGGCGGCGCACCGTACGCGTGCTGGGCAGCAAGACAGGCCAGCTCCCGCGCCACTGCCAAGTTGCATCTACTGAAGGAACCGTCGTCATGGCGCGAGGAGGGGCGCGAGCGAAGAAGACGTCCAAATTGTTGGAGGAGAAGTGCCCGCCCCCGCCTTGGAGGCGCAGGCGCGCGCAGTTCCAAGC